GGCATCCTAGCAGAAATCATTTGGGAATGGAAGGGGCAGGCTAGCAGAGAATTCTCAGGATCTTTGAAGTGACGATGACACCTAGAACTCCCCCATTTTCAGGCTTCGCCGGCAAGGACGACTGGGAGTCCGCCCAGATCGACGCCTGGGTCGACCAGCTGAACGACTTCAACACCGAGCTCCGCCCGTACTTCATCGTCGTGGCCGGCTACGGGGAGGGCGACAAGGACAAGCTCTACAAAGAGGTCGTCGAGCCGGCTCGGGACAAGATCTTCCCGCTCATCGTCAAGCAGCTCAAGGCGAATGGATCTGGATTTTTGGTGGGTGCGGAGAAAGAGCGAGAGATGAGAGAGACAAGAAAAAGAGTGAGAGAGAGAGCTATTGCGAGACCGTAATAAATTCCGCTCTTCCAGGTCGGCTCGAAGGTGTCCTGGCTGGACGTCACCCTGTCGTGCCACATCGAGACGTTCCTGCAGTTCGTCCCCGACTACCTCGACAAGTACCCGGAGGTAATTATTTTAATTCGTCTATGAATTTCAAGTTAAATTAAGTTAAATTTGTGCCAAAAATTTAGTTGCTTGAGATTTTAGGCAAAATTTTACAGTATACGGTTTTTTGAAACAATTGTATATTTAGTCTCATTTTTGGGTGTTTGAGCTAAATTTTCAGGACATTCCCAGGTGATTGGCCAGCCTTCAAAGAAGGTCACAGGAGATCCCCGAGATCGGGGCCTGGATCGAGAAGCGACCGGAGAGCTAAGTACTAATCGATTACGACATCACCAATTGTGATCTCAAAACGGAATGATCAACACAAAAAAATCAAGCTTTTTACTGATTACATAATAGCAATTGTTACGTAAAATATGTGATGGATAAATGTTGAGTGGCAATTTCAAGCAAACACACCTGACGGGAAAATTGGCCAAACTCAAAAAATCCGTGAAGATCTCTGCTAGACTGCCCCTTCGATCACCAAATGATCGCTGCTAGCCTGCCCCTTCCATTCCCAAATGATCTCTGCCTAGCTGCCCCTTCCAATTCCAAGTGATCTCTTAGCTATATTACGCCCTTCCATTCCCAAATGATCTCCCTGCTAGCCTGCCCTTCCATTCCCAAATGATCTCTCTGCCAGCCTGCCCTTTCCATTCCCAAATGATCTCTGCTAGCCTGCCCCTTCCATTCCCAAATGATCTCTGCTAGCCTGCCCCTTCCATTCCCAAATGATCTCTGCTAGCCTGCCCTTAATTAATTCCCAAATAATCTCTGCTCACCTCCTACGCCTCCACTGTCACGGTGCCTTTAAAACACCCTCAAAATACCCGTCCTCGTCCAGGATTATAACCTCAAAGAAACCCGCCCGCCAGGTGGCGTAAACAACTTCGGAAAGCCGGAGTAGCCGCGCCCAGGTCAGCGATGCCAATCGAAAAAAGCATGTGCATAGCCTTGACACTTCTTTTGCGTTCCGCAAAGTGCCTATAGCCGTTCGCATTTCAAGTTCCAAGGTCAGGGCGGGTCAGAAATTGGCCGACTCGAGGGGGTAGGAGATCAAAAAACATCAAAGGAAAAGTACGAAAATGGTCTGGGTGTTTAGAATTCTATTTGCTGCTCTGTTTTTGAGGTGAGAAATTTGTTAACTGGCTCCTAATACTTCTAGACGAATCGCTAAATACAATTTTTGAAAAAAATGCAAAAAATCGTGGTTTTGAGTTTCTGATTTCTGCTTCAGCGGCGTATTTTTCACGTTTATTTTTAGTCAAATCGCTTGCCGAATTCTTCTGGCAAATATTGGAGCCGCGGGGAGCCCAGAGTACCATCCCGGCTACCCGGAGCGCGTCGGAATATTCCGCGGAAAACCAAATTACGCATCTGCAGGCGTTGGACGACTTCTGATCGCAAATGTGTTTCTGGGATGAATAAATTGATTCAAAAAGCATCACAAAATTCGCCTAAAATCGAAATTCAACGAATTTTAAATCCGAGAAAGCGCTAAAGTCGACCCCTTCCAGCGACTAGGCCTAGACAGCTACGCGACACGTAAAAACACAGATCGAAATCGGGTCGATTCTCTCGCTTCCTAGTCCCTTTGAAAGTGCTGCAGCATCTTTTTTTGCAATTTTTTGTATGTTTTGTTTAATAGTTTGTTGCAGTTACCCCCAAAAAGTTCGGTCCTCTCGTAGCGGAAACCGAAGTAACCGACCAGGCAGTCTATTTGCTAGCTGCCGGTCACAAAAGCAACTAGCTCTCTCTCGCGCACTCTCTTCTCTCTCTCCTCGGTCAGGTCATTTTGTGCTTTCTCTACCTTTTCTGCTTTTGCTGCAGGCGAGAGCGCGTTTCTTGAGCCAGAGAGGAGAGCGAGAGAGAGAGAGAGAGAGAGAGAGAGAGAGAGAGGGAGAGTGAGAGGAAATACAGTGAAGCGAAACACGATTTCAGATGCGCCGATACTATTGGGGGTTGCGAAAGCTTAATTCAGAGCAGGCACAAACCAAAAAATTCCGCGCAAAACATCGGTGTGGGCAATCAGGCGGAAAAACTGTGGGGTCCCACTGGGAATATAATCCCAATTTGCGACGTAGAAGGGCTAAAAACGTGTCTGTCCCTTGAAATAGATGGGGTGAGCTAGCAGAGATCATTTGGGAATGGAAGGGGCAGGCTAGCAGAGATCATTTGGGAATGGAAGGGGCAGCCTAGCAGGGATCATTTTGGATTGTTTATTTTGCTTTTATTCTGTGTTTTTCTCGCGTAGAGCCATACAGTTCATCTAATAATTCTTTACTCTCCATCCACTATAAAAAATACACAAAATTATGCAAGTAGCGGAATTACATGTTATGGTAGTATTATCATTGCACTAACAATCGTGAGCCAATTTCAGATGCGATTTATGCTAATTTCTTTGGAATGGGCGGGGGCAAACCAGCAGGGTTTCTTAGGGAAATTTTTCAGGTTGGGGGAAGTGAAATGGGCAGTAAATATTACGGAATTAGGGAGGTGACTGGCTTTAAAGGGCCATTGAAGGAGTGTTTGCGCTTGTTTGGGAATCCCTATAGATTTTCGGCTTCAATGGTCCTTTAAAACCGATAAATGCCTTTTTAAAGGGACATTGAAGGCAAAAATGTAGTAGTACAAAATTTTGATTTTTTCCACTGCTTCGTATTTCCTATACAGGGTGTCCCAAAAAAACCCCCTACCTAGCGGTCCGCAGTCGATTCCGATTTTTACGATTTGGGTATCTATCGCAAGCTCTCGAAAGGCGAGAAAACAAGGAGGGTTGAATTTCTTAATTAAGCCTTTCCTTTGCTAATTTTATGTCCAAAAACCATGAAAACTGCTGATTTATGCGATATCTGCATGTTAATAGAGAAATTCTACATAAAAATTCTCGGCTTTTTAGGAAAACCTGAGCCATCGATAGAATCAGATTAAATCTTAGAAAATGAAACCGCCATTGAGTTTTCGTTTTCTTCCAGAGCTTCGATTGGTATATAAAATCCGTCTGATCCGATCCGGATTGACGGCCTCTAGATAGGGGTTTTGGGACACCCTGTAGATTTGCTGTCACTGGCTGTCGAAAAGGAATAGCAATCCGCACTATTAGGAATAAAT